ATATTTTGTGCAACGAACAATTGTCGACAAGTTGTATATACCCACTTTTCATCGTGACGCCTAATTATGACATTGAACGTTTTCCTCAAAGTTTCCGTACGTCGCGCACCTTAATTGCACATTTGGCTCCGATAATCGAGACGCGCAAAGTCTCAAAAGCTGTTAATTATTTCGCGCCGTCACACGTATTCATCGCGCCATTAACAACAACGTTCGTATTCGTTCCCGACGAAATTTCGAACAACGAAACCTCCCATAAATCGCGCGTTAAACGCCATTTCCTATCCCTCCGACGCTTCTTCCAATTAGGATCCAATTTTCTATGCGCATAGCCGAGAAGAGACGTTCGATCTGCGTGCGATGGTAATATCACGGACAAGAATGATAATTGCCGGAATCATTAATAGATCGTTAGGCGGGATTTCATTTGGATGATGAAACGCTCTCAAACGTAGACGCTCGTTCCTTTTTTCTTATGCCTTCGAGACATTCGCTTTTTCGCTGCTGCTGCTGCTGCGGCTCCTGCCCGCCGGAACGGAAGCTGCCCTGTAGTTGTTACGCAATTAACAGACGTGGAATTGACAGACAATTATCTCAATGTAGATATAATGATAGTGTCTCGGCATCACGGCCGCACAAGCGCTTCGTTCCTCAACGATAAAGATACTTTTCTTCTGCTTTGTAATCGCACGTACGCAGACACATTTTTAGATTAATCTTCCGAGTTTCCATTTCCTCCCTTTCCTCCGGTAATACGCAGCTTTTCAACTCGTCCTCACGCGTCGAGCATCGCTGCAATCCGTAAGATCCGTAAGACAAGTATTATACAACCGCCCCGTTTTGTTACAGGCAGATATACGGAGATGCAACGGCGCTGTCTTATCTGAAAATTCACGTTTATACGATATCTGGAGCGCGGAACGGAAGCCATTCATAGGTTTTGTAAGGCCGCCTCCGGGGCCGCCCGTGTACGTGGCCGTGTATACACGGCTCCGGCCGTGGGTTTGTTATCGTGTTCAGCCGTGGAGAACGAGAAGCACCTCCGATATCCTAATAAGATCGATGGATCCCGCGAGACCGCCCGATACGGAGCAAGCGCGCTCGGTCACACACGTATGCCAATTGTACGTATGTACGGTATATCGGTCCTCCCGTTCAATCGATCGAGTACAAGGAAACGAGAGAGAGAGAGAGAGAAAAAAGAGAGAGAGAGAGGAGAGAGAAATGGAGCGGAGCCACGCGAATTAATCCCTCTTTTTAGCTCACCGCGAGCATATTTTGTTAAGGTTCGATGTATCGTCATATAACGCGCGCCGTGGCTTTTTGCCGATCGCCCCGATCGGTTCCTTTAATTATGCAACGCCAGGCCGACTAATAATAATAATTCGACGGACAATTGCTCGCGGTTCTCATTCCCTTCCTCGGGACAAAACGGGGATTGTTTCTCAAACGCGAATGCCCAGCCGCCTTTCGCGCGGAACAATTCGACAGTGTTTTAGGTTTCGCGTGATGCAGCGAGATACTGCAAAACTGACAGCCCACGTTAATCACACGAACGATCGCCGTTTACGGCGCGGCGCGTTGCAACACGCGTTCACCGCCCCCCGCTAACCCGCGACGCGCAACAGAACGAGTTTAATGCGTTCGTGCGTTGACAATATCCATCGGGTATCGCCGATAAAGCGCGGTGCAGCGTGTAGATTTTTTCAAATTCTCAACCACACAGTGGTGATACGCGAGTCCGCGACAAGTACAAGTACTTATAATACCTAGGGAGGAACACAGCTGTGCGCGCTTTGTCCTTTTCCGACGGTGTGCCCCGCGGCACACCAGTTCGAGCCTCGTTAACGGGAAATCGCGCCCGTGCTCCTCCGAGGCCGAGGCAACTAATTAGCCATAACTTTCCGTAAATGGATTTTAGCGCGCGATACCGCCGGCTTTATTGCCACCTCGCGGTCGCGCTTTTCTCCGGCCCGGAGAGCGCCGCGCGGCAAACGTATCGGTTCGCGCGTCCGCGTCCGGCAGATCGCGACGATCGCGATTCGGTGCTGCGGCTGTATAGACTTAATTATGCAATATTCCGGAGCGCGCGGTTTTATCGTCGCGAAAACCTCGTTCTCTTTCCGCATCGGCGGGACGGAGGCGATAAGTACAAACGCGCCGCCTGATCGATCGTCGTCGCGCACTTTCCCACGTTACGATTACCGGAATGCAATTTGCTCTAGAATGGTAACGCCGCGCACTCGTAACTCGCCGACGTTAACCTTATTATTATTATTTTTTCTCTTTATCTGGGTTGCAGACTTCGCGACAGCTGCTGATGAAGTCTCATTAAATAAAGTGATCTTTAATCAATTATCTGTGGTCTGTACAGCCAACTGTATTATCATCTTACGTAACCAGGCAAGGAATATGAGTTAGTGATTCGGGGTTCGTTCATAAATCAGGTTTAATTTTTAAGATATTATACAAACTGATTAATGTGTTACCTCGATAATGATCAAAAATATTTTAGAATCGTGAGAAAATTCTCCTAAAAAGCACTTAATATATATATTAATGTCTATACACTCGACATTTATTCATTATAAAGTACATTCGTACTGAAATGCTTACGATTCCCTCACCCTGCCCCGTAATTCCCTATGCAGTGTTTACAGACGTCGATAAGTAGATGATAACGAGAGAGAGAGAGAGAGAGAGAGAAATGTTGTTCCATATCTAATTATTGCATCAGGTGTGAAAGTCCCGGTGCGTGCGACACCAGCAGTGTACGTCACCGATTAGATTCGTTCGTTCCTTTTTTTTCTGAACTCTCCGCGTTAATGTGGATGCGCATTTAGAAATTGCCAGCCTTGTCGCGCGACCGTATCGCGCTTATATATATTCACCGGATATTAATGCACGCGAACGCGCGAAAAGAATAACCCCGCGTGGATGCCGGTCGACCATGATATCAATGAACCCGCCGCGCACGAGAGAGTAGCACGCGCAATTACGGTAATTAGATTTTATAGTAGTCGTTTTAACGAAACTCGCTCCTTATCTACCCGTCGCGGAATTACGCGTTGTAAAGACATAATAGGAAAAGAGGTGATCCAATAATATTCTCCTCCCGGCGAGAGTATTTATCTATTCGTCATGGTGTTTGGTGTAATGAACGGTCCTGACGGCGCGATACATTACGATTATGAAGTTCGCGCGCGTTGATAAAACCGCGCGCGCACCGTAATGCAATGAGCAGTTTTCACTTAAAACGATGTTATCGCCGCGCGGAGCGGAGCGCGCGAGATATTTAACCGACGGGATATACGGAAATGCGTATTACCGCGAAATGTTAACAGCCCGATAATTCATAGATGATACGCGAGAGTGTTGCGTACAATTTGTAATTCCGGAGTACAAATCGCGCTACGGGGCGTTAATGTAAAGGTATACGAGTGCGAGCGCGGTGTGCACGCACGTCGTATATAATAATATAAAATGTGTAACGCGAAGATAAATGTATTTATCAATTATATAAATTTATCGATCGGATTTTTGCGCAACGAACGGCGGGGCTCTCGTGGGGGGATCCGCCTAGAAAATTGTTACTCGGATATATACCATGAGTGAGAAATGGCTAGCGCTTGATTTATGAGGCAGAGAGCGGCTATTTCTCCGACTGCTTAACTATTGTTTCCTGACAATAAGCGTATATCAGATATGAATGACACGAAGAAACGTTCTCTATCATTCATCAAGCTGGCACTCGGCCGGGAAGTAAAGTAATTACACGTTTTCCTGTGTCACTTGAAAGGACCATCTATCTGCGCGATGCTGCAAAAACCGCAGTAATAATACCGACACACTTCTTTCGAAAAGCAGATGATAATTAACTGGCCGATCAATAGGGTACCGTGATACCTTCGCAGTTCGTTAAAAATAAGTTTAACACAGTCGGGATCGCCCGTCCACGTGCTGTGTCCGCGACTACGTAATGTACTTTTAAAATTCTCCGGCGATAAATTATGTTTTGCTGATAAATACGCGCAAATATACGCTGCTTAAATTAAACTGATAAGATCTTAAATTATTCGCTATATTACAAGGATAGGCTCTCCGTATATGTATATACAACTTCGAGGAACTGTTTCGTTTATGAATTACGAGATTATTCTCCCGCGCTTCCAAACGCGTTTATATGTTTATACAGTTGCACCGTTTTCGCCTACCAAGGCATATCATAATTAATGTTGTATGTATGTGTGTGCGTTTCTCTAATTAATTATTATTTGAAAAACGTGGCAGCCGATTTCACAAATGAATGGTGTATTACACGTCAATCGTGACAGTAGTAAATTGCAGCCGTTTTACAAACGCTTTCTCGCACAATGGCCGAGGAAACATTTTCTCCCGGTGTGTTAAATATTTCTTCTCTAACAAAGAAATTTATACATTCGGCATTTATAGGCCATTATACGCTCCTAATGAGAGATTCTATCCGCGTGCGCGCGCGCGGGATTGGGTAATCCCGCTCGAACAATGAATGTGTAAAACTTGTTACGCCATTCGCGAAACGTATACAATATGTACCTCTTCGAATATTAACTGCACGAAACCGCGAACTTCTGCGCTAGGTAAACAATGGCAGTAAATTCTGATTAATCATATTATTATGCGGCACATTTGCCGTTACATTCCCGTACGCGAAAGACTATATAAGTTTTAAAAGACTATATATAAAACGCGGAATTTTGATGAGATCATAATGCGGAGTGTCTGTCATGATTTCAACGACGATGTAAATCATCGTCTCCGCTGTGACAAATCGAAGCTTCGGCGTTGTGACGCGTTACATAGGCGACTGCCAAAGATTTCGTCGATTACAGCATAATAACTCTTAAAATAAATTCACTTTCGCGATGAATTGCAATCGTACTATAAACATGAAGCGAAAAAAAAAATCAATTTGCAGCGCACTACATGAATATAATATCAAACAATTATCGATAACTTACCCGAGGAAGGCCTGTCCGAATATCTGGTGCAGTAGACCCACGCTGGCCACAGCATCTTCCCAGGATCGGTCCCGGTTGATCCAGTCGAGTTGGACGTTGTGTTCCCCGCCGAAACACTGGTGGGGGAGGCGTTGGTCGTCGTTGTCGTCGTCGTCTCCGAGCTGCTCCTCTCGGACGTGTCGGAGGACGACTCGAGGAAGTCCTTCGTCAGATCGATCGGCCTCGAGGACACTTTCTTAGGCCGGGATTTCTTCAGCGAGATAGGATCCGTGATCCTCCTGCCGAAGTCCGCCTTCAAAATGTTATCTATGCTGAACTTCAGGCCCGCCTGATGCTGCAGATTGTTATTGTTGTTGTTATTGTTGTTGTGATGATGACTGCCGTTGTTGCTGGTGCCGAGGCTGTTCTGCACGCCGTTCGCGGCGGGCAGGGTACGTCCGTTCTCCTCCCTGGCGCCGGGCGACGCCGGGCTGCTGGAGTCCCGTTGCAGGAGCTTGCTGACCGAGAGCCGGTGATGCTGGTGCACCGAATTCGCCGGTACGTGCTGCACCTGCGAGCTCTGATGCAGATGCGTGTGGGCGTTGGCGTGATGCAGATGCTGACTGTGATGCGGCATCAACGAGGTAGTTTCCCGCGGATCTCGGCAGGCAGCGGGATGGAGAACGGGCGTCGTCGCTTGGAGCCCGGTGACCGTCATGGCCGACGGCGGTGACAACGAGAGTCTCGTTACCAGAGGAACGCTTATTGGTGTACGGTGTAACCTCTCTACAGTGGGATAAACGATTTCGTGACCTAGGCCGTGCTGGACTCGCGTCGTATAATCGGAGATATCAGGTTCCCTAGAGGAATATCGGGTAAGGAGGTGTTGCTGATGACTGGATTGGTATCTAGGTACGATAGCCTCTTGTATAGCTTCCGGCCGACCTGGGGACGAGGCGGTGGCCGAGGAGGAAGCCGGAGATCTGACGGAAGACGCCGTGGGGGACGACGGTGGTTGACTGTAGCCCGGTGGGCTTGGTGCCGGAACGTGATTGTTGGACGTACGCTGATAATACAGATCGTTGCAGCTAGCAGAGCTGGACGGCGACGGCGTCGCCGACGTTCTCGTGTTCTCCTCGTCGCGGAACTCGCCTCGGCTGCTCGCGGATTCCTGGTCGTACCTCATGGAGCCGCATACCCGCACCTCAGCCACGCTGGTCGGCGTCGGTTCGCTGCCAACGCTCAACACCTCGCTCGTGTCGCTCTCGCAATCGCTGTCCGCGTTGTTGCACTCGGTTGCCCGCGTCTGATCCCGCTTCTCCGCGTCGTCCGAGTCCTGATCCAGCCGTGAGATCAGGTGGTTCGACCTGATCTCCGGGTCCGACGAGTCCAGACCCATTGGTGCCTCCGGGAGTGCACTCGACATTGTTACCCGAAGACACCCACCTCGCACAGTGACAAGCTTCGTTTTCTCGATCACAACGGAACTTTCGTAGGCCGCGTTTTCATGATAACCTCTTTCCTCCCCGAAACGTTCCTTCAATCAGACATAACTCTCGTTCAATATACTTAATGTCATTTTTAATGATCTATCTTACGGAAATGATCCGTTTAGCACTGATGGATGGTGTCATCCTCATATTTCTACCTCTATCATTACCTGTTCCGCGTTTCACGACTTCTTTTTAACGTACATGGTTGATTAACGAGATCATAACCTAACAATTTAGGATGATCCTTCCGCTAGGAAAATTTCTCTTCACAATTTCACACTTCTGATATTTATTTCGATCCCGCGAGTTCGATCACCGGCTAAACCATAGTCTCACTTGGTTTCATTCCGACGGACAATTTCACGAAATTACTCCAGTCAATATTTATACTTTATCTCACTTTCATTTTCGATCTGTCCCTCGTCGTAGACTTTCTGGCGATGTTTACATCGTAAATTACCTCGAACAAGTTTACTGCTCATCTGATGGTACAAAAAATCTCAGCTGGAACGCAATCACGGAGGCTCTGCCGTCGCCTACAAAGCGCGGCCCTTTAAAGTCCTCGCTACAATAGTCTAACACGATGCACTCTCACATGTTTTCAGATCCTCGACCGATTAGAGACGTTCTCGGAGCGCCGTACAAGGGTCACTGACGTTTCTCAACGCGACGGCATTGGCACGCGTTGTACCAGCTGGTCCACGATCAGGGACGGAAATAGCGGCGGCTGCGACGAAGGTAAGGAGCGTCGTAGTCGGTGGGTCGCGTCACCGAGTGGATCGCGCCGATGGAAACGTGCGAGTCCTTCGCGGCGCTGGTAGACGCGGGTTTCGACGGAGCCGTAGTGTGCCGACGCCGTGAAACCGGACCGGGCCTGGTTGTCCAGTTGGTTGCCGCGGAACGTCTGCGGCGAGGAAGCGGCGGGAGGGCCCGCGATGGGCGTTTCTGGGTGTAGACCTGGTGCGCGTGCACGCCTCCCAAGGTGACCCCGAAGGGACGAGGACGCGGGTGAGGGACATGATCGCTCGACATCTGGTGGCTGACACGCGAACACCGCCGCGCCGAAACGCCCTGTCGCGCCCCACTCCGAGCGTAGCGACGTCTCGCGGATTCGCCTCATAGGTGATCAACCACGTCCCACTTCTCGCCGCGGTCGGCGGCGTTACCCTACCTACGCGCCGACGTCTAGAGGCTGTCCTCTTCCATCCGCTCTCGGTCTCACTCGGCCGATCCCCACCCCGGGGCACCCGGCCGCGCTGGGTAAGTATAGAGGTTTATTGGGGCGGCTACACTCAACAGCCGTCTCTCCCTCTCTTTCGCGCGGACTTTATTCCGTCGCGGCTCGCGGCGTTGTAGTACCCTGCCGTTTCTTCCGAAGTCCTGTATCTGCCCATAGGTGATACAGCTTCGCCGCGCGCTATTCCGTCCTCGTCGACTCCGTTTATTGTCGGTGCCTGTCCCTCTTGCTTTCATCCCTACCGTTTATACCTTCCACCTCGCCAGTTGCTTCTCTCGTTATTCTCTCCGTTCCCGTCTGTTTCGCCTTGTGTATACGTTTTACGCGTGCTCTTTTTGATTCCTCTCTATATGCTGCTCGTATATGATTTAACACTTAGCCCTCAACTATATACGCTTAAAACAGATGATATCGTCGCATTTATCTTGTTTAGTTATACGTACGCGTTCTACACATTTTCAGGTCTGTTGAACTTGCTCCGACTTTATTAGCTTCTTCCCTCTTTTATATTTATGCTCTTCAACGTTATCTCTCGCTCGTTACTTTTTTTACGAAACGTGTTCCTTGACGCGAGATAAAAATATACTCTCCCAGAAATAAATTTTTACGCAAGATGGTATCGAGTACTATAAATCAGGCAAAATCATAGACTTGGATCTAGATGTGTCTATAATGAGATCCTCACATAATTACGGCGAAGAAGAACTGACTGAGGGAAGTTAAGGGAGAGAGAGAGAGAGAGCAACTCTCGCGTGACATGGAAATGCAAAGCAGATAAAGGCCGCGAATCATCGGTAGCGATGGAATTACTCCGACTATCGATTCTCCCGCGATGCATTTTATCCCCTTGGAAGAAGGTAGCGTGCATGCAGCTCGTGAATCATGTATTCATTTTTCGCTCGGCCGGCGAGGAGCTCGGGCGCGCGTCAACATGATCCCGAAGCGATCGTTAAAGCTCATTATAAGTCGATCTTCATGCGGATAAGGATGTAACGAAGGTAAAAACCTATCAGCTTGTAAATTCCGATCCTGCAGATTTTGTATATATACGCCGGAAGATTAATCCTGCCATCTCTCGCAGTCAATATTATACCATCTGTCCGTGTAATCAATTTATACATCACAGTGTAATATTCTTAACGTTGTAAATATTTAATTATAGCGACATTGTTTTTTTTTTTAACAAGAGTGCACATCTTATTTGGAATAATCAATATAAACTGTTCAAATTAGCTTTCTCGACAACTATTAAAAATAATATATTTAAATTCGACCGAGCTAAAATTAATACCTTTATATGCACAGATATATCTGAATGCGCGTCTCTGAAGAAAACAAACCAATTCAAGCGAATTCTGTTAGTCAATGAGATCCAATTGTTGTCCGCAGACGTGTTTTCAAGAACTCTCTTTTGCCTTCCTTTGTGTCTCGCTATAGATTCTTCATCTTCCGGTAAATTCTGTTTCATTCATTCCGCTAACCCAGGAACGTTTGCGGCTTTCGATGTATGCACGCACTTCTCGAATGCGTACAAATAAAAATTTACCGACGTAGGACCGTCGTACAAGCCATCATATAATGACATATTGTTAGCGGCACGTTAGCACCTCGTAAATTTGAATGCGAATCCGATCCGAGTTATCAAGAAGCGAGCGAGAAGCAAGACCACCACCGAAGTTTATAAATTCTTCTCATCGGATTATTTAGTCCCGCAAATCTATGTCGTTAGTTGCGACAGTAAAATTATATTTATTCTTGCTACGAGGAACAAATATTTATTTTTTGCCTTGCTTAAATTCTTCACCGAACAATCAAAATGTAAAATAAGATTCTAGTAAAGAGATTACTTGTTCATTTTTTCCTCGCGTCATAAGTATGCGTTTTTCGAATATATCTCGCGTGTATACGATGTGTGATACGCATCTGCGTGTTTACATGCATCTTATACGGGCATCTGCTTCCTTCGCAACAATGTTTCGTACGTTTCATTACAGTTCTCGACGGACGCACGACGATTTCGAAACGTATCGTTGAGATCGCGGGAAGGTGGAGAACGCGTCGTAATTCAGATAAAATTGACGAAAAAGGATATTCGGAGCGAGGCAAAAGATCGGGAACGTGGTAGTTTCGCCGGGGCGTACAGAGTAACGTAATGATGGAGAGGAAAAAAAGACGTCGGTTAACAGCCGCGCGATCGCGCGGGATTAAGGGCGATATCCTCGCTCGCAGCGTGTATGTACTCGCTCCGCAGCCTCGAACTCGTTACCGTCGGCTGACTTCGTAAATTTCGTTAACGCGGGCTACCCTGCATTCCCGCCTTAACGAGCGTCCACGCGCTCGTTAGTATCCCTAAGGCCTTCGCTTAGGTACACCCTGTAAGTTAGCCGGGACTTGCTGCGCCCGCTAATTCGTAAGCGGCTACTCTCATTCGTCGAGAGTGGATGCAGCTCGGCTCTCCCGTGGAACGAGGTGATGCATCCTTCCTCAGGGGCGGATCTGCAGCGCCGACGTGCGAATCCGCGTGCCGGTGTCTTCGCGGAAAGTATCTCGTTCCGCTGTTTTCAGCACCCTGCTGAATCAGTTTAAGCGACGTCGACATTTTCCAACATAATACTTTTGCAGGTCGCTGCACGGTCGATCAATCTCTTTTTTTTTATTATAGAGAAATAAATCAATAATTAGTTACGAAATTAATAGTTGCATCTAGATCGCCGAAATAAAAATATTCTCGCGGATCATTTCGCAAATATTGTATAAATTATACAAATTCGGTATTTATAGTTCAAATAAAATCACGAAATAAGATTTTATCTTAATTTAGGCATCCGTTTTTATAATGACGTTAAAGCCGCTTCATGCCGCTCGAATATATAGAGCGATTATTTTTTATTTATATTAGATTGCACTTTTTTTTTATCGTAACGATGCAATTCAGTTGCCGCGTAACGCACACGAGGGCGCATCCTTCATAGGAGTGAATCAATCTGCATAATTTACACCTTAACGCCCGAGTTGACTAATTTTACGCTGCTGATTTTTATCTGAATCCCAGATTTTATTTTAATTGTGGCAACCGTGTTATTTACGTTCCGTACAGATACGAATCCGCTTAATGATACAATAATTTACACCGTGCGAAGTTAGTGATGCATAATAAGGCTCTGGGAAGTTCTTTTTAACGTGATTTACGACGCATCCGTGTGAAGCGCGTAATACGCGGCAAACTAAAATTCTTTCCGTGACATACAAAATTGCACTGCACAAAGTCGGCGCGCTGGCCGCGTGGAACATCGCACGTGATTTTTCGTTTATTTTGATTTATGTGGCTCAGTTCGTGCAATTACAGAAGCCTTGATGTCTCTAATCAAGTAATGACGTGCGTGTTTCTTTAGCGGAAGAAAAACTCAGCAATTTTTCAGTTTAAGTCTCTCTATTCTACTTCTAAAATTTTTTATTAAAAATAATTAATGTCGATATCTATCTTGATATCCTTATTTCGTTTCTTCAAGAGTTTATAGAGTACACGAAAGACGTGGGAGGCCGCGCTTTAACAGGAGGCTGCGTCCCTGTTACTGTGCGTACGTATCGATTTCTCGAGTATCAAGCTACCCGGCAGCATTAGCATGGCAAAGAAGGCGCCAATTTGGCCCTGATAGCGGCCTGCCATAAGAAACAGGGAAGGACACTATTCTATCGCGTGTTTTGTTTCAAACTGCTCGCTTTTTGCCTCGCCTATTATAGCTCGCGGTGCCTACTTTTCTATTTAATAACGGCGATACGTCAGTGCACTTGTCTTCTCCTGCAGCCGGAGACTATTATTTTCTCGCGTCTAAATCCACAAACGCGTACGTTATCCTTGATACGACGTGATTGAGCTTACGGAAAAAAAAATGGCCAAGTCACGAGAGAAACGCTCTCGCCGCTTACGCAATTATAATTGAGGCAAACTTCGTTGAGATCTATCTATAGATAGAATTCTTCCTTAATTAATTCCCCTCTTCGCACATAGATTACGGAGAATTAAATCTTACAAATCATTAATCCGACTCCGCCTGACAGTCGGAGTCGGAGGGAACGGCCGTAATGTAATTAAATTATTATTAATTGGACATTTAGATAGAGCCGCGATGGACAAATTGCCCGTCGTTCGATAAGGGCAAGATACACGGAGTTGCACCACATCGCCATAATGAACCATCATTGCCCGGTGCGTCGCCCAAGACTTATACACAAAGATAAATTACGGGCGGAATCCACAATGGAGTCTTTATCAGATTCGCCGGATTGCAACGTCGCGGCTCGCATTATTAGAGGAAACCCCTCTTCGACGGCGGAGAATCCGCGGCGTCCGGGGCGAAATCGTCATTCGCCATATAGTGTTAAATAATCGCGATGTTGCAAATTGCCCCCGGATCGCAATAATGCACCGCGCCGCGGGCGCTAAATTTCGTGGGATCACGCGAGAGAGAAGACTCGAGTTATATTCGCGAGGAGGAAATCACGGAGGTGCATCTATCAGACTTATCTGACGGCGCAGTACCTCTTGGCGAACGTCCGACAATCTTATTTATGGCTTGCAACGAGAAACAGACAATCAACGAAACGATTCGATTGAAGGCGATATCGTTTAATCGATCGCATTGTCCGGGCGAAGGGTAAAATATTTTCTAAAGAGTAAAGAGATAAGTGAGAGATAACGGCATGCGCTCGCGGCACCGATAATACTTTTGTCAAGCTCGATAGCAAGCGAACAATTGCTGAGTAAAAAAAAAATAAGTATTGCTGTAATTAACAATTGAGAACAGAATGGTGTCGAAAAATTTTTTCGGCTGCGAATAAAATAAAAATTTCTAGTTACACACACTTTAAAAATGTAACCCTTTAAAAATAATTGTCTTTTTTTTTATAAAAGCATATAGAAAAATAGTAACTACATTGTATATCTCGTGCATTAGAAATAATCAGTGGCACTCTTAAAAGCTGTCTTTACGTCAAATCCACAAAGTCAAGCTGACTTCCGTTTCGACGAAACGACTTCGACGTTTTATTATCATTTTCGCGAGTCAATTTACAGCGCCGCACGGTCGGTGCTTATACGTCCACCGGTCTTTTAACGGAGTCCCGCTTCAAGATAATACGAGAAATCTGGATACGACGCGGCCCGCAGCTGAGAGAACGCGCGATCGCAGCCGAACGTAACTTCCGCCGGGCGCTATCTCGGCACTCCACACCTCTATATACTTTATTTGGGCGTACATACGGCGGAGTGTGCGGTGCCGCGCTCACAGTGTGCTCACACGCGTGGCATGGATACAGACGGTGGCGGTACGTCAAGTAAACGGGATACGTATATATGCGGGCTCTCGTGTGTACCCGTCGAGGGTGTATTGGTGATCCGCACCCGGGTAAAACCCCGCCTCTCGGCTCCGTATCGCGCGATAACTCGATTACCCGCGATAACCGAGTATTTATTAGCCTGTGAGATTTCATTTTGATATCCGCCCCCTATCCCTTCTTCTCGCGGTCCTATTTGTCTCTCGGTTCTCTGCTGCCTTCCTCTTCTCGTTTCTCACTCATGCATACGCCTTTTCCGCGAGAATGAGAGACATCCGTCTAAAACTCTAAAACACCGTCGTTTCATATGTTTTCAAAAGTTATTTGTAAGAACAGAAACGGATAGCTTTTAATAAAATAATGATGTTTTCTCTTATCTCAATACCGATTTCATTTTTGTATAGCAAAATATATAGCTGTATAATACTTTTTTAATTTACTAAAATGATAATTAATGACTGTTGTATTTTATATTGAGGGCTATTATAGAGAACCTACATACATAGTTGGAATGTTTTTTCCCTTCCTTTTGCAGAATAATTTTGTCTGAACATTATTACGGAAGTCTCGAGGTGATTTCACATTTAAAAAGGTTATTTTATTGAAATTAAATTGGTTTTACAAGGGGTCGCGCGTGCACAGGGAACGATCGATCGTGATATACGTATGTATCGAATTACGAGCGCGGATTATCGTTGGACGAGGATCAACGCTCTGCCGGGGTGCACGATAATTATTTCTGCGTTAGCCATAATTATTGTCGGGATGGCAATTAATTCTTGCCGGAGCGGCAATTAATTTATTGTGGCTTGATTAATTACCGCATGGTAGGCGGGCGAGACAGTTCGTTACTGCGGCTGATTGCCCTTTTGCTGCACAATAAGGTCCATGGCTGGTAACGCCTCTTTTTTGCGGAAAGAATTTGGTGACAATTTGAGAGTTGATTGATGTACAGTGTTCACACATTGTCAATTAGATCTCAAACAGATAATCGCTCTGCAATAACGCGTGATATTTTTCCTCTCTTTTTTAAAATATAACGTCAAATCAGACTTTTTATCAAAGATTATTTCAACTTACGTAATCAAAAAAATATCATTATAAAAAAAAATTATAGGCAATAATATTAGCCTTCAATTAATAAAACGTTATAACAAGAAAATTATTCATATATTATTTTATATTTTAATGTAGAATGCATATCGACACTTTTTCATTCATTGTAATTAATATATAAAATGTTACAATGCTTAGTCTTTTTTTATCAACCAATAGCTTTCAAATCTGTACAAATAGTGCCACCTAAATTCACTCGTTAAGATTCATCCCGTCCATCACTTCATCTTGTATGTTATAAATATTTAAAACGAAGGCTGTCTTCGAATAATGTTCTTCTCATGTCGGACGAATCGAGAACCGGCCGTTCGATTAGCGCGTTTTTCTTCCGTTATCATGGGATCGAACGATAAATGACGGTCACGGTTCGTCTTGCGGATGAGATATTGTGTGGAGTTTTCACTTTTCATCAAATGGGATACCCCACATTTATGGCGGCGATTGACCGACGTTTTTGGATCCATCTCGTAAGACGAATGCGCTGTTTGGGAAACACGATTTGTTCCGTTCCGTGACCATTATGCCCCGAAACATCTGAAATTTTTCAAGATCAGCCAGGTAGATCTCCGGCTTTCGTCACGCCGGTTTCTAGATCCCTTCGCGAGCGATCACACGTGTGTCATATAAAATAGCACGTGTACATTCACAAATATAAATCTAAATAAAATAAATATAAATATTATATGTCATTATTTATGTATATTATACATATATAATTATACATATAATTTTTATAATTAAACAAAGTGACATCTTTTAAAAATCAATTAAGAGTTATTATTAGATAGTAGAATATAAATTACAAAACGCGCATGTAAATTAAAATATAAAATAACCCCAGAAAAATAAAACCAAAAGTTTATGAAAAAACATAAATAGACCTCTGATTAAAAGACAGTTGCTTTAAGATTATACAAAAAATATATAAAATAATATAATTTCAGATTAAATTCTTTAGATTTTTTTTTAAGACGTTAGTTAAGATGGGATTAAGATAAGATCGCTTTTAACTTATTCATTAAAAACATAAATTATTCCCACTACAGTAAGAGAGGCTAACATTGTATTTATACGAGGTACGAACGTCAGATAAGACACGTCAGAACGCAATCTTCTTCTATTATTTATTGGAAACCTTGATACACTCGAGCTTAATCATAAATATTATGAGTCATGATACAACACTATATTTACAGATAATTAATCGAGCGCAGTTGAGTCCTGATACTTAGCTTGATGCTCGATGGACGGAGGGGGTGAGGGAGGGGGGTGGGGCAGAGGCACGGGGATTTGTGGGATCAATGTGGAGCAATGAGAATCGAAGAGATGCTGTATTGTTAAATTATACGAAACGCGTAAAGAGGGGAACGACCAGGAGGGGAAATTAATATTTCACACACGGTGGCGAAAAATCGCGCGAGGTTCGGCAAATTTTCTGAATAAATATTAAGACGAGAACTGAGCTACGCGACTCTTTGGCGGGGCGGTCTCGTAAAATATTATTTAATCCTCGCTGGCCGTACACCCGATGCGATTCCGTGTAATTTTTATATGTCCGTTCCATTCTTTTTTCTCCTATTACAGTATAGGGTTCGCACCTTTGATGCTATATGTATATATAAGTATATAAACCTAGGCATATTCGTTTGTTATATAATGGATATTCAGTTAAACCTTATAACACATTATTCACGAACATTCAGGAACAATGAGATTAGGCCGCCAAATTAATAATGAAATTCAATTTCTGTGCACGGTTTTTTTGTTGGAAAATATAATGAAGTTTTTTATTTCTTAGAATTATGAGATGGCTTTGTCTTTTACGTTTTTAATATTATACAAAAAACGATACGAGTACGTATTTTAATTATATGTTAATTCAACATATAAAAAAGATTGCAGGATGTAAATTTTTACTTTATACATATTTTGTTCGTGTGAATATCTTCAGAAACAAATCATATATCACATATCTGCATTAATAAAAAAAAAATTATTCCTTTTATTTCATAAAATTTGTATAATTCTGTGTAATACTTTATTTAGATTTAAATTATTTTTTAGATTTATTTATCTGTTTCGTTTGATATTTTTAAGTTAAATATTAAATGTTCTTTCTATTAATTTATTTTACGTATGAATCGTTTTATTGAGTAAACTGAATCGCTAAAATTGTTTTCACGTTCCTGAATATGGCGAGTAATGTCACAGATAAAGACACATATAAGTACTGAATCTTATCAACGGCAATTAAGCGTCGTTACTGACGTTACGTGTTTGTTTTGATCTCTAAATGTGCCGTATGCGAGATCGAAGTAAGCAATAAAAAAAAAAAGAAGACATCATGTCGGATCGCAAGTAAACTGTGTTAAATTACCGATCGCCGAAGTGAAGATCGATGTCTTCGATCTGCTGATCGCACATTCGGCACCGAGATCGTGGCAATATCGACGACTTCTACCTCTAGTTATCGATGAGCGATAATTCGCTACGGATACCTCACTCGCGACATATACATCAATTGACGAATGAGTATCGATTAACACTTCGTTAAGTAAGAGAAGCGAGAGTATAGCAGCGAATATTATTTATATGTAAAAAAAAAGCGTTTGCACACAGAGGATCGATGAGACCTATTATATCCATGGGAGCCTGAATTATCAACGACTATCAAAATACGTAAGGCACTTCGCATTGTGTCAATCCCATGCTTATCTTAAGAAGTTAATAGAGAGACGAGTAGAGTACGCAACAATGTTTTTCTAAAATCGTTTACAAATCTGATTTTCTTTCGATTTATATAAAAAAAAAAGAAAGAAAAAATTTATTACCGCGCGTTGCATCTTTATCAGCCAATGTCGACTTATCAGTTATAGCGCAAAGTTCAGTCATTTATATCGACCATTTTCTATCTTATCGACGCATTCTTATATTACCGGCGGAGCCAGTCCTTAGCCCAGCTCCATGCGAACGATGCGAGGACATCGCAACTGATGGGGATGAAGCGAGAAGAAATAGACCTCCGCATGCTAGAAATGTTAGCCCTAGTTGATCCGGCCTTTGTGCGTCATGTAGCTTATACTGTCCGACAATAATTTTTCTCGCGCTTGCCGTCGCATTCGCGAACACATGGCTAGTATCGTACCGGCCATGATACAGAAGAAACCACAGCCGAGTCCCACTACTGTACTGGCCACCGTAGATCTCAAACATACTCTGTCGGTCGGCTCGCTAAATCCTACGTAAAAAAAAAAAAACAAATATAAATTCAAAAAGGGTGAAATTGTAATAATTATAATGCCTTAAATATATATACGTATACACGTTAAACATTTTCTCTCGTTAAAAATAATTTAATCGAATCGATGTCAATGGTATTGGTTCATCGACGTCGATTGACCAATTATTTCTGGCTAGTTACTTACATAAGCTTTTAAATTTCTTTTTGCGAGAGACAGAAAAATTACGCTCCAATTTTTTTTATAATTATTGAAATGAATTAATTATTTTTTACTTATTTTTATTGAAGCATTTCGTTGAAATTTTACAAAAGTTAATTGTAGGATTTACAGAATTTTATATTTGCAAGCTTTGTTCATTTGAAATCGGTGCCCGCCATAACGCAACTTATATAATAAACAAAACTATGAAAAACTGGAGCATCTCTCACTGAATGAAGTTATGATAAACGCACAGCTTGACATGTAATTGTTCTAACAGTAAAAAGTTCTATATGTATATATATCTGCTTTACCGGTGCGAGAGAGGCTGGTGGAATTCTGGAACAGTTCCGTGTCCGCCTCGCCTTCCTGAAGAACGCGAAGAGACTGGAAGAGATTCACTGGACGAGATTCTGACAAACCAGTTGCCGGCGTCGACAGCTCATCGATTTCCGGTACCGATCGCTTCACCACATTCTTCGCATTTCTCCAGTGGCAAGGTTGACTCTGAAATAGGGTGAATCAAGTTTAAATTAAAATTATCTATGAAACTGGAACATACGATTTTACGAGCACGAATAGTAAAAATGCCAAAAAGTGCTAAATGTCATTGCATAAAAGTATCATACAAAAATTAAAATATTCAATCATGTGTACATTTTTTATAAATATGTGAGAAGTATAGAATATAAATCCAAAGAGTTGAATACAGCATAAACATAAAAAAATATTAAATTTATATACCTATGATAAAAATTTAGTTAATGATTAAAAATATTTTAAAAGCAAATAATTTTAGAATATTAATTAAATCAATGAGTGTGATACTTAAATAGATTAAGAATGGGATAAAATCGATTGATAATGCACTAGGAAATATCTAGTTACCGGACATCTTCCGTGGCACATGCGAACGTCGCATTCGATATACAGAGCCGGCGATCCCGTAAACCTGAAGGTCTTCATGTACGCGAAGACCTGCGTCTCGAACAGGCCGCTCTCCGACCAGGAACCACGAAATCGACTGATCAGTTTGTCATCCACCGGACATCCGTATTGATCGATTAACTGAATCCTTTTATTCCCGCCATTATGAGCGTAACAGTCGTTTACGACGATATCAAAACCATCTACAAAGAAAATCGATAAAAAATATTCACATGTATTCGAAAATCATCAAATCTATCCATACATCTATGAAAACGATAAAATTTTGACTAATAAGTTATAATACACAGCAAAAAATATTTTTGTCAGAAACGATCCACTCAAGTTTTTGTCAAAATTTTGTGCTGACTTTTTAACATATTCAATGTTAATTATTATTTAACATATTCATTTAATTAAACATAATATGATTATGATATTTAAATATTTTGTATTACTCTCTAAATTTTTTGGAGTAAAATTTCACTCTAAAGACTTAAAGAGTGAAAATACTGCCACTCAAGTGGCCGAGTGACAGTATTTTCGCTCTTTTGGAGTGAGATTTCACTCTTTTGGAGTGAGATTCACTCTAGAAAATTTAGAGAGTAAATCAATGTTTAACATTTCTTGTGTCAAAATAACACAATTCATGAATAAGTGAACGAATAACATAAAAATAATGTTTTACGTAAACATAATGTTAAACATAAATTTTAACATAAATAAAACATGTATTAATTTAACATAAATGTTAATTTTACTGAAAAAATGCTTCTACAGTTTGCTTACAAATTGTGTTAGTGTAACATTTTTTTGTTAATTTCTTTACATAAAATTTATGTTACTTTTAACATATTCATTTTATATTGAATTAACACAAAAATTTAAGTTTGGGACACATAAAATATATTAAATTTATAACACAAATTTTCCAACTGTCTACAAAACATAATGATTCAAATTGCGGTAGATTTGAGAAGAGATTGCGATTTTAAGAACGCGGATAAATCAGATTCAGAGAGAACTGTTCTTAGAGATTTATTGTATAATTAGGTAAGAAGCGATGATTAGCTCTCACATGAAATATCATCACAATAACGAAACCAATTAGTCAAAGGCGGCAAGATGGGAATAAGATATGACGTCCTCTACCTTCTGACATAGATTTCGCGTGACATAAGTGATGTAGACGTAAATACAGAAGCTGACTCGTTAAAGCACAGACATCTGTCGTTACGTCGAAGCACCACACATTTTCATATCTCCTCACCAGCATTTCCGCATCTTTCGCAAATTACCGAGCTCGGACTGACTAGCCGACTGACAAAGTCTTTTGCTGTTCATCTTATACCGTTATCGCTGTCGAATGATAGCTCGGCGGAATCGGACGTCGTGTGATTAGGCTGGGCGTTGAGTAAGAAAAGAGATACACGAAAACGCATGTTGTAAATGGTTTCCAGGAACATTCATTCTTTGTTTCAATTTATTACGTTATTATTTCGTTTATTACTATTATTACAGACTCTTTGTCTTGGAGATTCATTTCTGAAAACATAACATAGACAGTCCGCTATTTTTGTAATTATGTTTGAGATAAACAAAAATTTTTTTTAGATTAGACTTACATTAGTTAAATTCTCAAGCACGTTTCTAAGAAAATAATAAAATCAATTTATCGTAAAAACAGTGATATGTGTGAATTTAATTGATTTATGTATAATAAGATTTTAATAGGCCATTGAACCATTAGTTGTTTATTAGTTATTTAACGCTAATAATTTTTTTATTTTTCTCTCTCTATTGTCTTGTTTATTGTCTATGTCAAGTGTTGCGAGCGGGTAGTAGGTCGAATCCATTATGTGTTCTGCAGACGATTTACGTGGCGAAGATGCAGTTAATGCTGGTGCGTATGAGTGCTTACCGTATTTGCTGCGCATGTAGATAATGAGAGTCAGGGGATCGCCGACGCGAACTGGTCCAGCCACTCTAGTTCCAGTGGTCCCGTAACCGTATCTGATTTCCATGTAGCACTCCGGAGGCTGGAGGGTGAAGACTACGGGATTTCCCGTGGCGACCCTGGAAGAAGGTGGGTGCGTAAGAGGCAGGAAGAATGCGTATCCGTTAGCTTCGCGAGCACAGTACGGCCTACTTCGCGCCATGCAGGATAGCACAGATGTTAGACATTATCGTAGATATTACGTAAACGCCTCGCGCGAAACGTTCCATCGCGGGGTTCGCGTAATCGGAGGTTTCCTGACGATGGATCACGTCATGTTCGCCTCTCGCGTGCATTATGAAAACGACTACGAGAGACCACTGATCGATATGACCCCTCCTGTACTGTTTCTGTACACGCTCGAAGCGTCCATCTCGACGCGTTCCGATATAGCCATTATCTCGACACTTTATTTCGAGAGAAGTATTGAAAAAAAAAAACAGGACTCACTCGACGTCGAGGAAGGGGAACGTCACCGTCTTCCAAAAGTCGTAGCCGTACTCGCACGTCACCTTGAAGTGTTCGTCGAATTCCTCCTCTATCAATGGATTGTACTGCACCGTGACCGTGTTCCACATGAGATTTTTCTGGAAAGACAATTAAGATTGCGAGCGATACGTCGTCGAGTCTTATTTCTCACGAAGAAGCCAGCCATCATATAATAGCGGTGTCTACGTTCCCGCGCGGTGTCTACGATGTGACATCTAATCTTCTCTAATTATCGAGATCAAAAATAAGTGCCGCCGCCGCCGCCGCGCCGTGTGCTCTCTCATTTTTCCCCGGCGCGGTTAATCATTATTATTCCTTGTCGACCGGCGCCGCGGTGCACGCTAAAGTATATAACGATCCGTCATACCGGGCGCGACGCTTCTCTTCGCGCTCGTCTATTTTACGTACCGTCGGATTCTTCCTGCTGTCCTGATGATGAGTGTTCTCGCCGAGGGTGCCGCACCGATTCAGCTGAATGTAGAACTCGTAGTAGTCGCGGCCCGTCCCATTAACGTACATGCAATCGGGATCGTACGAGTAGCCTGCAATTAAAAGCGATTATTCTTGTTCATCCGGAACGGCTCGGCCGGCCTGTGATACAGGCCGGTATCGCCATCGACATCGAATATCAACCGATATCTCGTCTATCAAACAATCTACCTCGCGGGCGTTTCTTCGATCTTACACGCGAGCGCGCGCGTTGCGCGAAGAACAGGCGGACCACGCTGTGGTGGTGCGAGTTTTCATTGCGAGCAAATGGGCGGTCAAAGCGTAAGTGAGGAAACGCGAGGTACTACCTATACTCGTTAGCGCCGGTGTGTTAGGAAGTCGGGGATTAAGGTAATCTGCCTTTTTTTTTTTCTTCAGTCGTCCTGTTAGATTCAATCACTGAGGGAGGCCTTCAGTGTTTCGCGAAGCTACTACATCCGCGTTGGAGCCACAAAGGCGCTCGGCTCATTATTGAAATGTTGATTAACGGACTCGTTATCGATCAACGAGAGATCGACTCGCGGATTGGCCAGAATCGAACAGGTGCGAGGAGGTTCGAGAAGAGGTCATCTTCCCCGTCGAAATGATTTGTGAAGAAATCACTTCGGTGATGACGGTGATGCCATGTTTTTGTTGCATAGGTGTCCACCGCCAGAAGGCACGGCCGCGATATGCTCTTCTTTCGAAATAACGGAAGTATCTTACTAGAACGGACAGATGGACTTATGACGGCGTAAGAAAAATTCTGGCGCGGCCGTTGTGGACGACCGCCGATCGCTTTACGATAATTTCCGCCATTACCTCGTTAGCGCGGACGTATACTCGTCTCACTGTCTGCCGAGGTAATTGCGGATGCCAGCGATGCGGCCAGTTATGCAGCCACATATTTTAGATTGCAGTATTATGTCGAACCTCCTGACCGTAATGGAGAGTGTAGCGCAAAACTCCCCAGTCATTCCGTCACTTTTTCGACACCGCGCCATTTGTATGATTCGCGTCGCGATATTTACATAAATCTTGTGCCAAACGTAAGCGTCGCTCAACTTCTAGCTTCAACATTATTGTTTGGCTACTTGTATATGTCATTAACATCGCAAAAATGTAATAGTATTTAATAAAAAAAAATATGTTTGAATAAATGGATACGATAATGGAAATAATTGTTCATTAATAAACCATTATCGCGCCATTAATTTTACCTGCTGAATACAAGAGGCCGGTGAAGGATCCGTTGAATCCGATCCTGATTTTCATGTAGTCGTCTTGACATTCCGCCTCGATATCTAAAATATAAGGTGTGATTAGTAATTATCCGTCGATTAAATGTGTCGATTAAATACATCGATTAAAAGAGTTGTATAAATTTTTTCTTATTTACACACTTGTTTTCTCCAACCGGCATTTTTCGCGATTAAATCTACATTCCGCTATTTTATATTTCGTTATACGTATAATTATATGTTGATTCATCAGCACGATAACTCTCTGTCTACATTTTCTTGTATTTGCGAAACTAAGAAGGTCTAGGTGGAATCTCCGATGTCGAAAGAGAAATGGAAAACTGTATATACGAGTATATGTACGAAGAAAAACGATGTGTCATGCCTACAACCGATATGTCGTTCGACATACATTTATTAAGAATTAAATTTCAGATAGTAAATTAAGCAATCATTGAAAACAAATATTTACTAATTATATACATATAAGACAGAATTTTTCAAATATAATATAAGTAATGTAATGTAAGTAATTTAAACAAATTATTTAAATACTTATATTATTTAAAAAGAATTTTTTGAAAGTATTTCAATGTATTGTGTGTTATCAATCGATGGCAATCTTCACGGCATTCCACGGAAAATGATGTAGCCAAGGATCGATTCTATTTAAGGAAACACACAATCGGCGATTCTCTTTTGCAAAAAGAAAGCTTTCTCGGTCAAGAAGGGCTCTCGGGACTAGCGCAAATATAGCGTTACCATATCGAGCCCGGTAATCGTCACTTCGAAAACGCGGATTCGTATTGAAACGGGAGGATCAATCGTAGAAGATCGAAACGTGCCGATCGGTCATTGTGTGGGCGTTTATACGTTTTGCCGAGAGTGCCTGTCGTCACTCGCGTGTAGAAACCGGGCGCGGAAAATCGCAGATTCGCGGATAGGAGCGAGCGGAAAACCGGTCGTCGATGACGAGTGAAAGTAAGTTGGGGGTCCCGTATAGGCGCTCTTCGTGGTAAGGAGCCGTTTCCACTGTAGCAACGTAACCGCAAAGCGGAATGGAGATTGATGGAGGATGAAGATAGTTACACTCGAGGTGTCCGCCGATGATACAACCTTTTCGTTTCGTGACCCACGCTCATCCCACGCACACCGTCATCGTAGGACGGCACGGCATCCTCGCATGATACCTTGAGCACGACGAATGCTATATTTAATTGGATGTCATCATTGGATATCATATAAGGGTATAATCATTTCTATATTTCTCGGAATAAGACCGCAAAATTACTTTGATTTAAATTAATTCCGACGCAATTTTTCTTTAAAGCAAAAAAAATGTGTTTATAAAAAAAATTGTTTATAAATTATAAAAATAGTTCATAAAAGAGTCTATAAAATTTTTATATTTTTAATTTAAAATATATTTTTAATTTAAAAAACAGTTGCTAAAAGACGTTAATATTTAGTGATTAAAAATTAATAGATCAATCTCGATTTGCTTAGAATGGAACAAACGGAAGAGATGAGAGAAAGACTGACAGTCGTTGTCACAGACTCGTGGAAAAATAATAAAAGGATAAGTAGTGATGGGAAGATAGTTACACCGGAGGCGCATGCCGATGATACAACCGTTCCGTTTCACCCTCGTCCTACGCATCGCGCCGTCGGTCGCGAGTGTGCCGAGCGCATTTTCGAGCGGCCGCACGTACGTACGTATATACGCTGCACGTATACGCGCGTATTAGAATTGCGGATACCGCGTGCTTTGTGTTCATCGTCCGGCAAAACTCTGTCAGTGGGCAGACAATGGGAAGAGTTGAGCAACGCTGATATTTGCTCCAACGTGCCGAGAGCGGTCACGGAGAGACCGCGGTGGATATAGTCGGGTTCCTTTAAGGTTCCCCTCCGGTGCCGTTTTTCAGCACACGTTGGATTCAACTTTTGACGCTTGGCACTATTACTTATTCGATCCGAATCGAAATCGGCCGAAAAATCAGCTTCTTCCAAGGAGCGCGCGCGCACGCGGCAGAAAACCGCGTGGGAGAAGTAAAAGGGAACGAGGTAGCAGAATGGACTGCGAACCCCGAGGACGTATGAGAATCGAGCGGGATGCCGAGGAGGATACATTAAACCTAATGGGCTCTCTTTCGCGTAATTGACGATACCGCGGGTGGCCTCAAGTTCCCGCAGAGAACGAGCGGCTCGACTTTACGACTTCATTGAACCGAGCGGGCTTCATAGGTCGGGCGTAACATTCGTCATTGCCAATGGCAGCCTCATCCAAATGTTTTAGGAAATTTACCGTAGCAGTGCGATCATCGATCGTCCCGCCGCGCTCGGAGGAGGCTCGGTACACGGTCGGTCTTATCAAAAATTGTATCTGGTTGATTGTCTCGATTTTTCGCAAATCACACGTAGAATGATTTATCAGAATGCATGCAGAGTGAAATAGATTTATGTGAGTCGCTTATAACTCAATCCTTTTCGATACCTGCGCTAAAGACGAAACCATTGTCTTGCAATGGAAAAAGAAGCGAGAAGCCTGCAACGCCTCGTTCATAAACTTACGTAATAGTAATTTCGAGAATTATAATTTTACGATTCTAATATTGATTCTGTATGAAGTTCATGAATAATAGATGATCGTATATATCTTCATCCCACATGAATAATAGGGTATCGGTGAAGCAAATTGCCGTATAATGATTTAGTTAAGAAACATAAAACGATTAATTGCAAACGACAAAAATGCAAAATGTGGTGTAATAGACGCTACGTTCCGGTCGAACGGGCCTGGCCGACGAGGGAAACGACGCGCGTCGTTAAGCGCACTTTTCTCGCAGCGCGGTTTCCAAGTACGGTCGTAATTTTCCGCAAAGCGCAATTAAAAGGGCTCGCTTTGGGAGGCTTTGATAGCGGCGTATATGCGATTCCCATCCCGTAAATATTATTTATTTACATTATCACGAAACACGCTGTAATTTTCTCCGGGAGTACCGGGCGATGATGCCTGGCTTACGTTGATTACTCGCCATATGCACGAATATATATATACAGTGAAGTGCGTTCAGGCATTCACAATAAACTTCCAGAGAGGCTCCAGAAAAATCGCGTATGCGGCGGATGAGCGTAACACATACGCGCGCCATAGGATATTATACGCACGCGGTAGGAAATTATTAATTTTGTTTTCGCATTGTCTATTATTCTTTCATAACGGGACACCGGCGTCGTCGGGCGCTATTAGTGTCTTGTTCCACTGGCATTAATTACCGCCGCGCACCCGCTACGCCGAGATTAAAACTGAGGCATCGGCCGATTACGAGTTTTTAGCGAGACATCGTTGATTGAGCCTTCGCTGTCGCGGGGAGACCGGTTTTACTCGAACAGGATGGAAAATTCATTCAGCAAAGTCACTTCAGAGGCAGATAACTGCGTCGCGCGTTAAAGTTGTTGATCGTTGTAAATTTGTTCTATTTCTGCAAATACGATTCAACGGCGTTTACAGCGCAAATTAAACGGAAAATCGATCGCTCTAAGAGAGGATTGCGCGAAAAGAAAACGCATCAGAGTTTAATAATAAACTGCAGCTCGGGGAGGATCCCGCTCGTATATTACACCGCCATGAATTCGAGATAACATTAAATCATTCAAAGAATTCCCGCGGACTCGACGACATAGCTTCACGTCATCGTACGCGCCGGCACGAGAAGATCAGGGGGAAAAAAAAATTAACGTAACGGCCGCTCATAAACATCATTTTCATTGCGACGCGGCGTCGCAATTTTCTTCGGGGAGAAAAAGCGATGCCCAGAAACGAGCTGTCGTCGATTACTCGGCGCTATAACATATATACGACGCGCCGACGAGATACACCGTGCACCGGTGTGTACCGTGTGCTCGAGTTTCCACGAGGCAATCGCGGCGGATCCAGATGCCGGATAATGATGATCGCGCGGGACGATGATGACGGTCCTCGGGGCCTCGATGACGACGATGCGACGACGATTGCAGATGCCGTCGGAGGAGGAGGTGTAGGTACGCCGGCAAAGAGCGCGAGGTGGTGTACTATCTCTGCCTCCTCCTCCTGTACCCTCGATGTCAGGAGCGTCGTACGACTTTCCGACACCGTTTTAATTGCCTCCTCTCTAACGGTAGCCACTCGCCATCGCACTCTCTGAATTCCCGGGCGCGCTACAGGCACTCTCGGGGGACTCTCGAGGATGGACGCGGATACGTTCGCGCGGCGCGCCACGGCAATTCTTCCAAGTTCAATCGACCGAGACACCGGAGGGAAGTACTTTTGTCCTTACAACTCGCGCCATCCTCGCGCCGGGCCTATCTCGGGCCTTCTTCTCTCTCGGCCGGACAATGGACAAAAATAACGGATCGACATGCTAAAGCGACGACGAGAAGCCGCCGCTCCTTCCTCCGGAGGCACACTGACCCACCAGACCGATACCGTAGACGCTTTTTGTCGGCGCTTTTATTCGGACGGGAAATAGCGGATCGCGCGCCCGTTTACGCCCCGATATAACGCGCGTCAGTCCCATCATTCGAACGTCCTCTTGATCCAAATACGTGTTCCCTCCCCCCTCCCCACTGTCTCTCTTTCTATCTCACGCGCGGACGCAATAACGTAATCACAAGCTAAATTGAGTCGATATAATCCATTATCGACCAAATAGAGATTTTCTGTTGGCTCTCTCGGATCGACATAATCAATACCCCTTCGTAACGTATTTCCGCTGAATTAGCGTCTTGATGCGAGCCGCCATTACGGCTACTTACAAACCAGGAAATTTCTATTAGCTCGGGAGATTGTGCGGGCTGACGAGTAATTGCCTTATACAGGGTGTACCCACACTTGATTTATATTTAATTTACCTCACCGAAAACGCTCAAGCTGCAGACTGTCGGGACTTGCTAATTACGGCACTTACCGAGAAACCGTTTATTTTAATATTATCATCAAATCTATCTACACGATAATGATGGAATTCAGCAAAGAAGAATAAAAGTACGCTGCCTTCGTACTCACGTTGCACTCTCGTCGTGTTGGGCCTGTATCTTCGGTGCTCGCGGTCCCAGGTTTCTGGATGTCTCCTCCAGTCATCGTCGCCGACTGCGCCTGTACCTCCGTTTCCGGAGAGGGCCTGCAAGCCTTGAAGAGTTTGAAGAGCCTGAAGATTCGGATTCAACGGTCGAGTCTTCAACGAGGGAACTGGCACGTAACCGGCGCCATCGCCAACGTACACGACCTTCGAAGATAATAGAAGCATTGTTTATGAATACAATTTTAATACAATATATAGAGAATTGTTATTTGAGCAACTTATATCATGATCTAATATTTCTTTGATAATTAATATATTTTCAATTATTTAATAATTAATAATTAATTAAAATACAACTAGATCTCAGTGGACAGTGAATAGTGTTAATTGATCCTTATAGAAGCAATTTGTCAACTTAATAAAACGTACACGGAAAGAACGATTTTGCTGAATGCAGATCTGAAAATAATTTTTGTTGGACAATCAAAATAATTTTGTTGGAAAGCCAAACTGATTGCTAGAATATCAAAATAATTTCGTAAAGTTAATAATGATAAGCATTTTTAACTTTCCAACAAAATTATTTTCAGATCACGTCCAACAGGAATTATTTTCAGAGAGAGAAGAGCTTACAAGAATTTTATTAGGCAAAAAATTTTTGTTATTATATGTGTGCCTAATTAAATAAAATTATTGCACGTAATGTTTACGCTCAATTACTGTTTCTCAGAGCTATCGCAATCTCGCAAAAATATATCGATAATCGATATCTGAATCAATGCTAGCGTAACGTATAAGCATTACCACATATTTCGCATAATTACATTATTATCAAGAGAAACAGTTCAAGCGGAGCAGACTTGATCGTGGACACTAATAATCATAATAAGCGACCGCCCGCGCCAAATTCCTGATTCCTATACTAATGATATTCATACGGGAAAGCTCGGCAAATGAACACGAGGAATCCGCTAACGAGTCGTAGGTAGTGATTTGCAGGTTCAAAGCCGTTAGCCCGCGCATTGCGGTTGGGAAGCGGGATTCTGGCGAAATATTCTCTCGGCGTATATACACACCGGCCTCGCGCGATACGGCTATGCAAAACTACTCCTGTCGAGCCGGGAGCCCTGACCTCTCCTACGTTAACGATCCGATTTAACCCCCAGCCTGTACGGATCGCTACCGCTCGAACGGTGAGAAAGGGCGAGAAAAAGCGCCGGGGGTCGAGACCACGACGAAGAGGAGAAACACGCGGAAGAGGGGAGGCACGGTGGGTGGGTGTGTGTGTGTGTGTGTGTGTGTCGGCGCGGCGCGGCGTCGGTCGCGGCGAGTCCAGGGAGGCGAAAAGGGAGAGAAACGGTGGAGAGAACCCGACGAGGAAGTCTGAAAAACGGACAGCACGAGTAGCGCGTGACTAACGCTTTACGAGCTCATTCCCCCGTCCGAGCGTGAGTACCCGAGGGCCTTCCATCCGCGTACGGGTGCCGCGCACAAGAACAGGCGCAAGAAGACCGAATAAGACGACGACGGGGCGGGGGCGGCTCCGAGGGGTGGAAGGGAGGGAGGATATTGTGCTTTGAGCCGCTTGTCAGCGAGCACGACGCGCGAGAGCGCGGCAGGTAGATACTTACTCGGGCGAATCGGCCGCGGGGCGGGAAGGGAGAAAAGGGGAGGACGGGCACGTGGTTAGTGGTGAACGCGAAACGGCGATGAAAAAAAAAAATTGCGAACAGCTTCCATATGCCGTGACGAAAAAAACCGCCGCGCCATTCCGTTCCGGCCGCCTCCTCATCCTTACCGATTCTCCATCTCCTCTCCTAGCCTCTCTTACCCCCCCTCCCCTCCCCCCTGTTCTTTCGCTCTTCGCACTATTCTCGATGAGAGACGTTCCGCCTGTGGTCCGACGCGACATAGGCTGCCACCCCGGGATAAGACCGCGCGCGCGTATAGATCGGCAGGGAAATTGCCTCTCTTCACGGATTCCACTTTTGAGGAATTTCAGGAACTCGGGTACGAGTATGCTGCCGGGAAACGGAGCGGGGCCTCCCCTCCTCTCCCAGACGAGCGAAGTGGCGTACGGCGTTTATGGGCCAGTGGAGTAGTTAGAGGATCGTTCCTCTGGCAAAGAAGCCGGGTGCGCTGCGAGAGCCGCCCGGGTGTCTGATGTACGTTCCGCGGAAAATGACCGGCAGTCTTTGAATCTTCCGCGGTATCTCATCGGAATGCATTACGGACGATAAGTGCCGATTACCTTCGGCTCCTGCTATGCTTAACTACGGTATTAACTGTACTACCGGGGCTACGTAGGAAATGCAATAACACGAAATGCTCCTTCGTGTCGAATGCGTTGCCGCTGCCGCTGCCGCCGCGCTGCGCCGATTCGATCTTACGTCTCGGAGGCTCGCTCTTCGCACGACAACGTCTTCCGTTTCGTGGGCTCTCCTATTCCACGAACTTATTAGTTTCAATTTAACACAAATCTATTTCCGATAACTGTTTCGAAAATTAGCATTCGCTCGGCTAGGCAATTCGAGGTAATATTTGTACGCATTAACATTTGTACGCATCCGGCGATATAGGCAGCGCGCAATTTGACATTGAATCCCGCGGCTTCTGTATAATAAGAACATTTTCCTTAATGATCATCGACATCCGCGATATAAACTCACGTTTCTTCGAAAGAACCAAGTAACCGTTTTCTCGTTTTGCTCCACACTGGGAGATGACGTCAACGGACGTCAGCAGATTTCTTGTTTTCTTTTTTTTTTTTTACTCGAGTGAATGTTAATTTCTTCCGAGGACTTTATTTGATCAAGTCGTATCGTGATATGCGCATTCATGCAGTGATTAACGGTAGCGCGGTTAGAGTGTCGAAAGTCATTAAATCGGAGTAAGATCGCTCGGATGACTTAGATAAATGCACCTATCTCTTTAGAATCTTCTCCCAAGATTCAGTTGTTTGTTGAAGCGTTGCTTAGAGCTAGAAGATCGAATTCTGTTTAAGCGTGAAGTTAATGTGAAAATTTTATCACACAGGAAAAAAAAAATATTCTCATATATATAAGCAAGAATATTATATAATTTTTTTAGAAGTTTTTTTTAGTCTTAATTTGAATTTGTATTGATGTATTGCAGTTACTCAATTTGAGACTAAAAATCTTCTATATAAAAATTAATATTTTTGCTTATGTATACAAGAATATTCATCTTCGTTTAAGATTAATTTTCTTCTGTGCAGTTACGAAAATGTACCGAACAAAAATTAATTTTTTTTATATTAATTTTGCGCTATACAGATGTTATAGATCTTTATTTTTAATACTAATATTTTACTCATTTTTAAAAAATACGCGTGTGATAAAAAATAATCCGAGGCGACTGAAAATCTATTACGTTGCGTCAAATCGGCACTTTTATAGTTATCTGACTAATGATTTTCATAGATGTAGCGTCTGCCTCACAGGACGATTTAAAATCGTCGAGACAGCTCTGGGCTACGCAGTGCACTTCCGTGCGATTAGTCTTCGCTTCTCCAATCGGAACGGACGGAAACACGCTGCAATACGCAACGCAGATGAAATTGATCTTGTCTCCCGTTTCGCAACGGAACGCTCGTAGGCTAAATAAACCGCTTCTGGTGCTCTTTCTCTCTTTCTCTCTCTCTCTCTCTTTCGTGTAATGGGGCGGCCTTTCCCCGCGGAGAATCACGCGGCGGCGCAAGAAGCGATCTATCCGCTCGCAATTTGCGATATAACGAAGGTCGCGCACGGACGTGGCCGCGATATATACCCTTTCTCTCTATTCTACTGGAAACTGGTTCACATTTTTTCGCGATCGAAATCGATTCCGCTCGAAAACTAGTTTAAAGGCAATCCGAAGATCATCGATAAAGAGCGATTAATCAAAGGAATAGCCTTTATTCTGCAGCACTTCTCCGCGAGCTGATGCATCCCGGGCAACCTTCTGCCCTTCGTTTAGAAAGGGCCTGCGGCATTTCCTACGCGCCATGGGAATGTGGAAGATGGGGGGGGGGGGGAGGAAGGGGAAAGGAGGAACGTAGTTAAACGCGATCGCACAATAATTGATTTTCGTTGAAGGCCGATTTTTCGCGATTTTATAGACTGATACCGATCGCACCGGCGAAGACGAGAGTCACACGAGGAGAGGCGAGACGATCGATCGGCCGGCGTCCGTCCGTGTGGATCTTCAGGAGGGATTTTTCCCGCTCTCGAACGAGGACATGCCGCGCCGGCGCGGCGACCGATCGAGGCGTCGTCTTTGCTGCGGTTAACTGTCGGCGTTACCCTTTTTTACTCTCTTGAATATCATAGCGGATGCAGAACACCTGCATCCAGAGGCTCTCCGCCGTGCGCGGCCTTGTACGCGCGCGCGCGCGAGCATTCGTTAACTGAGAAATCACGCAAAACTGAACAGATGGGCAAGTATCATTCCTACGCTTCCTTTTTTCCGCTCCGCTCTCGTCCGACTCTCCTTTTTTTTTTAATCCACTTTCGAGGAAACCGTTTGCCAATTAAATATAACTGGACGCGGACGCGATCGGTGCAGCGCGGCAGATGCACGCGCACACCTTTCATCTTACTTCTCTCACTTTCCTCTTTGTTGTCACACGCCACGATATTTATTGTCAGAAATCTGTAGGACTCTCCCGGATGAGAGGTTTTATTGTCTATTGAAACGTCTGGCTTTAATAACTTGGTGATGCAATAAATAAAAACGTGACGCTAATGTACATTTTTTTTATCCCAACAAATTGCAACTTTTTTTTATTTCAATCGGCAATAATGTTGAGGGTTTTTTTTTTAAGGTCGTAGTGAAATCTTATAACATTGATCGCGAAATGTGATAATTCCGGACAATTTAAATCTAATAATGATATCAACTGACTTTACCCGGCCTTTCTTATACCGTTTGCCGTTTTCACCAGTCAATCGCAGCGTGGAAAAATAAATAAATGTTTCTATAAAGATAACGGAACAAAGAAATGGCAGATCGGGGAGAGAAGCTTCTTGTGCAATATCTATCATGAATTTCAATAAGTAAGTGCGCAACGCGAAACAAATTGGCGATGCGTGACTTACAGCATCGTGGTCGCTGGCCTCGTGAGTTAACGCTTCTCTGGTTTCGTTGTGAGAGGCAGGGGAGGAGGACTCATCCTCGTCGGGTCCCGATCCGCTGCCCGCCCAATAATCCTCGGTCGTGTCGTCGATGACAGAATCCTCGGAATTTCCCTCCACTTCCGTGTTCTCATGGCCGGTCGCCTTCGAAAGGAAAATTGTCTCCTATGAGATCCTGTGCCCTCTGCGAGGATTGCCGTATATTATGCGCGATGTTGCAAGCAAGATATATATTTACCTGACACCTTAGCGTGACCGCCGTCAGCATCCAGACACAGATGTATCTGCAACAATACGTAATTCGTATTAAAATGACGTGGAAAGTTGCCTTCGAGAATATTACATAAGACGCAAAACTACAAAATTGCGTTGCAAAACCTCCGTCGAAATACGTAGACGTGTATAATAAATTTTTCGTTTTAAATCCGGAGTGCATTGTATTAAGGCATTGCTCGTGAAATGTGACTTGGAGAGTTAAGTTACGAACGTAACTCTCGAATCTTACGCTAGCGTGGCGACCAAGGACGATCACGCGGAGGCCGTTATACGAAGGAAAGCGATTACGACAGTGCAACGGCAGAAGCCTCCGTGAAACGTCAAGCGGACAAGACGGATATCACGGTGGAAGGAATGCGATTAGACGGAAAAGAAACGAACAAATCTCGGATTTAATGATATATATATATATTCTCATGTGCGTAATACATATATATATGTATATATATATATATATGTATATATATTACGCACATGAGAATATCGTGAGGCGGATCGTATATTAAGGTGGATCCACATTATCGAGTTAAATCTCGAGTCGTACCTCAATCGCACGATCGAGCATGTGTCCACGTTATCGAATCGAAACTCGTGAAAAAGTTCAACAGCTGTGCAGAAGTCAGGCTCGAAACTCATCTTTTATAGATTCGGCTCGACGTTTAGCTCGATAATGTGAATCCACCTTTACACGTGGTCGGTGAAGAAAGAGCACCGCGAAGATGACCCGCAACAACGCGGTCTTCTGGTTTTCACGTTCTTTTCCCCTCATCGCGGCATCATCTAGGATGTGACTCATCTCTCTCTCTGCTGCTGCCGCTGTTGCTTCCAACGCACCCTCATTCCCTTGCCACTTCTACGTGAACCTCAAATGAGTTTCTTGCCTCCGCACTTACTTGCCGTTTATAGACCTTTTCGGTGTAATCGCCGTGAGCCTCGCGCTATTCGCACGCGCTCGGTGACCCCGCGTGCCGGGGCAACCGCTCGTATCAATCTTCATCTTCCCATCTACCTGGATCATCTAATTAGGTCGATTGAGTATTCACGGTTCAAGTTCATATAATTTTGCATTTTTCATTGTCTCTCTCGCTATCAATCTGGTTCATTCATGACTCACGCTTAAAACTCTTATACATCAGGCATATTTGTGTAATTTTACAAAACGCGAAATTCCTTCTCGTATTACGTAATTTATTGCATGGATGATTAATATAATATTAGATGATTAATTTTATATTTGTGCATTCAATAAGCAATTTTCCTCACCACTCTAATTCTGCCGCGACTGTTTTTGCGAAGATGCACAAGATATATGTATAATATCATAAAATATGGAATAAAACTAATACATAATAATGAATCTAATCTCCGTCTAATCTTTGACCGCGCTGCTTATCTGATCGCGCCTTAATCTCGAGATGTTTCCATCTCGAGGATTAAGGAGTTAAGAGTTAAGAGTCAGGCGAGAGACGCGCCCCGTGCATACTGAAGCGACTGAGAGATTTCAAGGCAGTGCACGTCATGTCGCTGAATCTTTTAAATGTATTTAGACCTCAATACAAACGCGAATACTGTGTATCGCTCTGTTACTTTTCAGGACAGCAGAAATTATCTGTGCTTTCATCATGTTGCCACAATAATAATTACTGCCAGCAGTTGAATGGAGCCGTTATCAGTGCGGCTCGATCGTTCTCCGATCTTCGCGATTTTCCCAGGGTCGCGGGAATCGGCTGACCGTGGTTTTCCGAGACTGTTATCGTCTCGGAAATTTTAAGCGCACATTACGTAGGTTACGGGACGGTCGAGCGGACAGTCGCCGTTTCATCTCGGACGGTTAAAGCAGTTTGAAAAAAAAAAAAAGTGAAATGCTTCCAGCATGCCGGATAGTGGTGGAGTCGCCGGGGAAATTACTCGCATCAGATCGGAGCGCAGTGCGCACGAGAGATCGAGTAACATAACATGCGAATAACTCTGGCGCAAAACTCAAATCAATTCCGTAGTCCGAGAAAATAGGATTGCCACACACAGACGCTGCATATCTAATCTCTAATCCCGTGATCTTTATTATTAACTAAATTTGGACTTGAATTAATAAACGTTAAATAAATTCAGATTTATCGTCCGATAACGTGTAAATATGCGGCGTTAGCTTAATTGCTTGTTATCTAATTAGAAGCCAGTTTGCCGTAAAACATTTTTTTCGCGCCGCATGTGCGGTCAGCGCACACGGCGCGGCGGCGTACCCACGAAACTTATTTAACACGCCGATCGTAATGTAATCCCATTATTTTCGCATTAAGGCAAAAGGAGCGAATTAAGAAGAAATGGAAATGTACCCGTCTCCGCATCGCCGGAGCGATTAAACGATAATTATCACCGCGTAACGGTTCGCGTCGCCGATTCGTCTTCTTCTGCAATATGTTAGACGATGACAAGGATGATGCGTTGATAGCAGTCCTAGAGAGAATGTTGCGCACGTAAGATGATTATAAATACCTCGCGGTGGTATTAAAGGAGGGGGGGGGGGGGGGAGAATTCATCTTATCCTACGCGCGCAGCGGAATTTCGAGCCGTCGCGATTACATCGGTTGTCAACGAGGATAATGGGATAATGGCGTATACATAATTATAATAATTAATTTACCGCCGCGCCGGCTAAGAGGGAGTCGATCATCGTTAGGGGACGATTGCAACCGCCGGAACTCTCGGCGCCGAGTCTCATCCTACTCGCCTTTTTTTTCGCACTTCTTATATCCACGGCGTCTTTCACGGATCGGGCAAATTATCCCCGGTTCCGGTTTGCCGGTTGCTCGTCACCTAATCGTGCGTCGTTGTTTTGAAGGAATGTCATCTCATTGCGTGACTTACGAGGTACACTTTTCTTTATGTGTATCTAAGCAGCTGCTTAAATATATATTCAAATCGCTCGGAGAAGAAGCTCTTGACTGAATTACCCGCGGAGTGACATAAACTGGTCTCGAGCGCAAAAGCTCAAATGGGGCACTAACGACGAAGGAGGTCTCATCTGCGCGACGTCGTCCGTAATGACGAATTCGCGTCCATTAAACGGACAGAATTGGATCGGGCGAGCAACTACTCACTTCTTGCGCGCGGGTTTATACACGCAACAAAACAACTCGGCGCACTTGAAGCCAACGGCAGCGCGCGAAAATTCGTATTCCAGATTAATCCAGAAATGCTTCTTACTCTCGTCGAGAGCGCGAGATTGCGTCGAATCATCCAACAGGTCTTCCTCAATTGATCACTCGCCGATCTGCAGCGCGTCTGTTCTTACGCGATATTGCGAGCAAAACGTGGCGCGCCGCAGCCGTCACTCTGAAGCATCGATACCGCAATCCCTCATTCGCCGATGTTTGCGCTCCGCGTTACAGAAACAATCAATAATCTCATCGCCCGTCGCGTCGCCGCGCGTTCCCACGTCGTCCACCTGTCTTCGTCTTCGAAGAGGATCGCGGTTCGCCCGACCCGTCCCATGTATCGGGTGTACCGCGTGGTATTAATTATCGCCGCCGAGCTCATTGGCAGCGATCGATAATTTCGCGAACGTCCCGCGGGGGGCATTCACGAGCGCATGATGTAATTATTATTCGTTCGCCCGGTCTCGTTCGCCGCCGCCGCCGCCGCCGCCGAGGTAAATGGAACGGAAGGTGTTAGGCGTGGGATGAACTCGACCAGGCCAAGCTCTCTCTCGCGGGTTGCATTACGCGCGCTACACGATGACGACGATTATACGGCCGTTAATCACGTGGCGCCGTGTAGCAGGATCCGCGCAACGATTATTATACTCGATATACGCGACACGATGCGATGCGACGCGACGCGACGCTATACGCGACCGCGATGCGACGTGTGGGCAGCGCGCGGTTCGTCGCCCGCGCGCTCACCGCAGATTGCCGCATCAGCGGCCGTGTATACATTACGCGCGTTACACGCACCGCAAGGTACCGGTGGATACGCGACGATCGCCTCGAACGACACGTCGATACGCGCGCAATTAAGCTGTCATTCGGTTTTTCGACGCGCGGAGGAGTGTCTCAACTCAGTCGTGAATGACACGTTTCGCTTCCACTTTCGGAGTCATCTTTTTTTTATTTTTTTTTTTTTTAATCGGTAGTTATATAACCGGCATTCCAAAGTCGCTCTTGAACGTATAATCCAAAACGAAGCATGTCCTGTTTGCTGCGTTATTATAACATACTTATTTTATATATACGTTCGGATTATAGGACCGTGTAAAAAATAAGTGTTTATTTTAATAGACCGATTAAATGAACATCGACAAGCGTATCTTTCGGGGAACTGTGTAATTTTAATGCAAATATAACGGTGCGCCGGAACACAACGATTTGTATCGGATGATACGACAGGGGAGGCATAATTCACTTTATGCGCGGAATATGCGAGCTGCAGCGAGGCGTAAATCGCCCCGTGGCGCTCCCGATAAACACAATTAAGATGCTTCGGGAGTTTTATGGAATCTCTCCCTCCTAATGGTAGCCTCGATTAATATACGCTAAATTCCAGGAATAATATTCCGTTCGCTTTATCGAATGCAGTTAGAATTCACCGCCTCTGAACTCTCTCTCTCTCTCTCCCTCTCTCTCTCTCGAGCGGTACCAGCGGTGTAACATGTGTGCGCGTAATAATAGAGAAACAAAACCTGGATTCGCGCGCACGCGGATGTTTGCGAACACTTACAGATTGCCCGGTATTTGTTCCGTAGAATGAACCTAACGCGGTTGTAACGCATCAATCATTCCTCTCGCGAGAGACGCGTTGTACTCGCGCGTCGAGCGATATACACGCGGGGCACTCCGCGAAACGCTCGCTGAAGTCGGCGATCTTCCCCTCTGGTCTTAAAAATGCAAAACGGAAATATTTATAGATTTTCAAAAGATATTACGCGCTCCCGCACGGAGAGAGAGCAAACAACATTAATGATTCAGCTTCGCGGTGTTATTGCGTCGAGAGTGAAAAAAACCAC